TCTTGGATGAACTGACCAAAGTCATCCCGTCCTTTGTTATACACTTTGCACCCACAAAGTGTAAGGTCATGCTTGTGGACGTGCAGTCACTGAACACGCCACTTATAATCCAGGGAGAGGTACTGGAAGTTGTGGAGGGCTCCACGTATCTTCTAAGTTGTATTAGTTCTGATTGTAGTGTGACAGATTAGGTGAATGCACAAATCTGCAAGGCTCGGGCCGCGTTTGCTAATTTGAGACACCTATGGCGTCAGAATGGTTTATCCCTGAATCTGAAGGGACGTGTGTATCAAGCTACAGTGTGGGCTGCTTTGTTGTATGGCTGTGAGACTTGGCCTATTCGAGCAGCGGAACTGAGACTTCTTCAGGTGTTCGACAATCGTTGTCTCAGAACCATAACTCGTGTGAATTGGTGTCGGCGAATCCGTAATGAGGCAGTTAGAAAGCGCGTTTTCGGTTGTGTAACGGGTACTTCCATTGAAGAATGTGTCCAGCACCAGAAGCTGCGTTGGTTTGGACATGAACCATCGTTTGCCGCAGAGAGTACTGTTTTCCATGCCCAACCCAGAGTGGCGTAAACAGAGAGGTGGCCAACCCTTGACATGGCAGAGGAGTATGAAGGAGATCGCGAAACGCTTGGGTGCTGTCGGCGCTACTCGCCTTCCAGGATGGGGACGGTGTGATCCTCACTGCCTGGTTGGAGACACTACAACATACGGCTGCCAACCGATGTCAGTGGCGTTCTTGTTGTCAGTTTCTATCCAGATTGCCTGAGTGAATGTCTGGAGGTGTAGGCACCTCGGAATGATTGTGTTAAGCTAGCATTAAGTCCCCCGTCCACCTTTACTCTTTTCTTTACAATAAGGCTTTCAAATAAGTCATGGTTTTACGGCAGTAAAGCATCGGTGTTGAACACTGATGTCATGCTGCCGATGATGATGATGCTTCGCTGTCTAGGGTTACCTGTCCTAATGTCACACGTAAGCCATGGTGAAGCATAGGACCATATATTATCGCACAGATCAAACGGATTGTCGCGAGACTCTCAGGGTGAACGATTTTCAGGTGATGAGGGGAGATATCATCTAAACAGGAATGGCAACTCCCCTTGCCTTTCAAAACGGATGGAGCTCTTGTGAGACCTGCGGGGCTCGATGTTGACGCTAAAGTTTTCAGCTACCACGCGTATGTGCCCATCAATATGCGGCGCAACTGGTCGCCTCTGGGAGTATATACATGTATAGCTTGTTACGATGTTCATTAGATGTCTCATCATCATTGTCAGCCGTAACAATCGCCTACTTGTACAGTGGTCGTAGCTGCCACAGTATCGTTCACCTATAAGTTGGAGAGGTGGGATAGGTAGCTGCGCGTTGGAGGCGGGAGCTGATAAATTGGTGCGTAAATACAGAGCAGTCAGTGAACTATTAGGTGGGGGGGGGTAGGGAAGGAGCACTTCGACCCCGCAGGTATTAGAGACTGGTAGTGAGTCCTCTATAACCATATCAATGACGAAGTGGAAGATGAAACGCGAGAGAGGGCAGCCCTGTCGGACACCACTTGATATGGTGAACTCAGGGGAGAGCTTCCCACAGACCTTCACAAGGCCGCGGGAGTTGGTGTACAGAGCCCTATGGAGGGCCAAGAATTTATGGAAGACATCTTTGCTCTGCAGACACTGCCGTAGTGCCTGACGGTCCACAGTCAAAGGCAGCTTGAGATCAAGAAGCAACTACTGTTGGTTGCTGGAAGCAGTGTCGCTGTTCCGTAATTTGTCGGGGAGTGAAGATATGGTTGGTACATCCTCTTGCGGGACGACACCCGCCTTGGTTTTCACGGATCTGCTTCTCCCTATGTTCAGTTAACCTTCAAATGATGAGACCAGAGAGCACCTTCGATGCTACAGCTAATAGACTGATGCCACGGTGGCTTTCACACAGCGTCCACGTACCATTTTTTGAAGAGAGGGATAATTGCTGACATGCTCCATTCTGCAGGCACGTTCTCTTCGTTCCATATAGCACCAATACGCTTTGTCAGGTGGATCGTCAGAGATTCTACGCCTCCTTTGAAGAAGGCTGGACACAGACTGTCCGGTTCGGACAGTCGGTGCCCTCTCACGTTTTAGCACGGATATTTTGTACCTTAGTTCTTCCGACGGGCGATCAGTGCTTACATTCCATTCGCCTGTATGCATTGTCTCTACAGGCTGTATTGCAGGAGGGTAGATGAACTGTTCTTTGGTCCATCTTTCCAGTCGACGTTTGTGCGAGCGAATCAATGAACCACATTTTTCACTCATTTCTTCACTTGCCAATGCTTTCCTAGGGCCAGTTGATCGTATCAGTTGATATAGGGCATGGCTGTTTCTATCTCCCGAGCTTTCAATGTCCAACAGAGCTCTCGGTCTTTATTTAGGCTCTTCATTATTTGGCGCCTAAGGGATTTGTGTGCACCGTCGTACTCGTTGCCTGCTGGTATGGAATTCCTGGCATCGATCATAGATAGCGATCTCATCGACATCCAGTGTTCTTGTGGTCGAATTGGAGGTCGGATAGACAGCCGCAAGCATAGCTGTTTCCACATCTTGCAGTGTTTCATACACGAGCTCACTACCAGTACAGTATTGGTTTACTGCGGAGAGTCGTTGAGCTAGCTCAGATCGATACTATTGAGCTATAATAGTTTTTCGGCATGGTTCTTACTGACTCACGAGGGCTGGGGGGGGGACGAACTATCAGGCGTGCACGCACCATGACGTGATCGGAATCAAGTGGTGCCCCAGAAGGAGCAGCAGCAGTGGCTTAGGGTCACATGATCCAACCGGTTCCATGGTTGATTTGCGGTTGGTGCCTGCTAGGTTACACAATGCGAACGTTCATGTTGAAGGTTTGTACTAGCCAGAAACTGTTTATGATCAGCACACAACTGGAGGAGTCGCTCTCGGTTGTCTGTGCGACGAGAGCCGACTCCGAACAGGCCGCCCAAATATGATTCCAAGGAGCTCAGACCACCGACTTGGGCATTCACATTGCTCGCAAGGACCACAGCGTCAGTGCTTCTTGCTTGAAGAATGAGTCCAGATAAATCTCGACAGTCCCCCCTCAGCGTCAGAAATGCAATCCATTAGGGTATAAACCGACACTACAAACCGCATTTTTGTGTAGACAGGCATTAAGCTGGATAACCGCACGGCGCAAAGACGACTGTTCACTGGGATCCAATCCAGTGAAGAGCATTCAGCTCTGGGGATGAGTGTAACTCCCACACCATTTATTCCACGAGTCGTTGCTTCTGGGTCACCGGACACACGGAGGGTGAAATGTGAAAGAGCTGAGTTCATCCTTGGCGTTCTGAAAGTCATAAATACGCTTGGGTCTTGTGTGCGTAATTCGGGGACACAGCATACATCAATTTTACGGGAATATAAGGTTTCAGCGAGCAGTACCTGTTTGGCCAATTTGATATATAGTACGGACATCAAAAGCTACTAAGTAGAAAGGCTCTCGTGGATTCAGCGAGCTATTATTTTGTTTATCGTTAGTATCGGGCAGCATAAGACCCATCGGTCGGACAACTGACAAGCAGATGACTCAGCAACGTTTCGTTGAGTGGTGAAAGGAGTTGGTAAGGGACATCGGTGGACAGAGAACCGTGCGGGCCAAGGCCTGGAAGCGAGTTTGGTTGAGATACCCCACTTGAGCCTTTGACTCAAAAGTCTGACCCACAAGGCAGTTGAAGAGTGTAGGGTTTTGTTTGGAGGCCATGTCCCTAGTTTCCGACTCAAGCAACGGGAATTCTTTCGGACACCCCTCGGAAATGGTGACCCAACAGTTGTGAGAAAGCGGTTGTTAGAGTTTTCTTGGAGGACCCTGCCCGGAGCCAATGACTCAATAGTCTGACCTACTTGGCTGTAGGGGGCCAGCCTGGTTCGACGGCGTAGGACTCACTCCTTATGCGGCTGCGCACAGCAGGTGCCTTCTAAGCAGCACCGGACTCTCTGGTTTAAAAAGTATTTCGATTGTATTGAATAATGCGCCGGCGGTCACGGTCAACCGTTTGGCAAACGGAGATTTTTGAGGCCAAGGTCTGCTAACCCGTCCTTCCTCGTGGGAAAGCATCACCGCTGCTTCCATGAATATGGACATACTGGTCGCCTGGGAGAAACAACTTACTGCACTAACACTCATATCACACAGGACAGTACGACTTTATCTCCAGACCGCCTCCTAGCACTATTACTTATAGTACAGGGTCTCGCTGCTCTTGGTATGACTACTCCCCTTTGGCCCTCCTGGCGTGGTTGCACTTTGTGGAACGACGTTCCAACCAGTGTTGACCGCAGGATCAGTGCAGCGCTCAAGTCCAACCATCACGTGAAGGTGGCAGCTTAAGGTCGGGCCTAGATGTCTCAGCAGCCTGTTACTACCTGGAAGATTCCCTTTTCCAAGCACTCTGTCTGCACACGTCGTTTTGTGAATGGTGCATACAAAAGTGTGTATTCTCTACTTCCGGGTGGTTTGGAGGGGTCGTTGCATTTCACCACAGGATTCAGTCTTCACTCGGTCGTCGCGTGGAGCTATCAAGAACGAAAAAGCACATTTCCCAACTCCTACATAACTTCAGTTACGTTTCGAAATCTGATGCTCGGTAGCACATAGTGAGCTAACGGACATACGCTCGTGGATGGAAATATAGCGGAAAGGAGCAGTGACGCGCGGTTTTACCAACCATAGTGAGTTTGGGCTGAGCTAAGGCTTACGAGTCCTAGAGAGCATCCGGATCACCAAGCAACTGGGCAAGTTTACTTACTCATGAACGTGAAGTATCTTGAACAGACAGCTGTCAATTTTACACTAGTTCTGTTTGATTTCAGTTTCAATGTACAGCCAAGTGTACGTAGCTGGGTAGAAAACTGGTCACCAGAACATAAGAAGTTCAGAAGGTTGCTCTGGTGTTTCCCACTGAAATTAAAATTTGTTACCGTTTATATAAAAAATCCAAAGTTCGCCGGTCTTTGAGAAATCGATCGGTGGAATCCTGATGAGCCCTAAAAGCTCATTTGGCCCAAGCATCACAAGTAACCCGACGGACCGTTTGTTCCGTATGCATGAGAATCGCGTACATCAATAAAGGACGTCCCAGTATCGGCATGGACCCTATATTGAAAAGCCTAGCTCAGATAGCAGAGGGAATATTGCGAAGTAGCCAACCTAAGCGCGTTGACTTACGTTCACCAGACACGTGAAGGCTGGAAAAAATTCTTACAGTTCCTTGGTCTTCTTTGACCGTATCCACCAGGTTCACGTAACGTCGCCGTTCTTCCAAATCACGTGAGCGAAATAAGGCGTCAGATACCAGGAGTGTGTCGATGGCCAATGCATCGGAAGCAGCTTTGACATGTTTGTAGCTACAAGGGATATGAACAACTTTAGAAATCACGGCAGTACTTGCAAGGAAACACACGAAATTACAGTTCCCAACAAAAGGCATCAGACTGCACCTGATGCAGAGGCTAAAGTGGTTTACAGAACAGGAGTGCATCGGTTGGAGCGTCTCGGGCGACCGTACCGTCCAAAGAGGTGAAACTCTGGGGATCTGTAGGGACTTAGACAATGACTCACATTCGACTGCGGCTTGATCCACTGATTTTAATTACTGAACATTCGACAAACGTCTCGAGAATGCGTAATTTTATCCAGAAAGCTTCACGAGACAACAATCGGATCCGGGAGTGTAGGGCGTGTTTGGTGAGGCCACAGCAACTACTCAAGATGACAGTGGAATGAGGCATCGATATGAGATCTCCATCTACCCGTCTGTATTGTTTATTGCAAGATACGGTGGAAAAAGAGAGTGACTGATAAGTTAATACGGATTCCAGTCCTTAATATTCTCCGGGACAGTTTAATGTTCAGTACGAGGGAAATTATGTTCAGAGGGTATATTAAGGATGCTTGTCTCTATGTTTCGTGTCATCTTCGGTGACGAAATAGGGTGACTGAAATTTTCACCAAGCTAAATGAAAATCACAGGTATATTTGGAACGATGGGCACCTGCAGAAAAAAACACCCACACGAATTAAACAATGTTGCTAAGATTGAAACTACAGGAAAACGGACATGCAACACTACTCACTCGAACATACAGTTGTATCAGTAGACTCGTAAAGTACGTTAAACCTAATATATGGTACACCAATATGAACGCCGGTGCTTCATTTGCATACAGCCCCTTCTGAAAAACAATGATCAATTAACACTTGCCTCAGTCAGTCACTCTGGAGTGCAGCCAACAATGCGCCCTTCCCTACACCAATTGACATGTCTTTCTATGACCAACCCCAGCCACTTAATAACACACTGAGGCTGGTGCCATCTCTCGCGCACACATTTATCACGTTAGCCACCACACCACCCTACACATCAAAGGTTGTCGATCAGTTGATTTTAGCTATACTCACTACTTACAGGTGTAGAGGAAGTAAGTGCCTTGTGCGCAATGAATGGTTCTAGGTGACAGAATATACTTCAAATACAACAAAGCAGTTATTCACCCGTAAAACCGCACAGTACATACCCATAGAATGCCCGGGATTGATCAACCTTTAGCATTTGATAGAAGTCGTTCAATGCATTCACTTCAGCAGCAGCTTTCGTATTGGCCAGTTTACTCTGTATACTGCTGTCCATGAGAACCTCTTTCAATGCATGCTTGTGGCCAGAGGAGGAGTGTACTAGGACGAACTTGCCCTTGTTCTCGAGAAACACGCGTTTGTCTTGTTTGGTCGATGTTTGCATCAGGTAATCGAAGAACTGCTCGCGGACGAAACCAGGGCTGGCAAGAATGACACATTTGACGACTGATGAGAGTGATAGGGAGAAAAGGAATGGATATGGATACAACAGCCAGGCGAGAAAACACCTGAGCTAATGAGTCAAGTGTGTCGGCTTGCGAGCTAGAATGAGTTATCCAGGCGCTTCTGACACAAAAATGGCACCAAGGTACTACTCGTTGTTTTCTAATGACGAACCCTAACCCGCGACACGCCAAAATCCAAGGTTCACGAAAGTTACGGGGTAAAAGTGGCTCAAAGGGGATACTTTTTTTGAACCCTTACGGGTCATAGATAACATGAAATTTTTACTGTACAGTTAGCGTCCTTATTGACGTCTGTTTTCAGCATTTCTTACCCCCCCCCCCCGCAATACAGCTACGAAGTATTAAGTTACAGAGCTCAAAATGGGCCTGGTAATTGGTCTTACACAACAACCAGTTTGAAAGATCAGTGATTTAATCGGCAGGTGCCAAGTAGTTACGTTTTGAATGTTGCCATTTGGAGTTGTCCGGAGTGTGTAATTATCTCGTAGTAGTACGTGCCCACACCTGTTATTTCTGGACAGAAAATGCACCATATATTTTGCCCACTAAACTGCGGCCAAATAGCGATTTTTATAAAGTGAAGGCCGCTAGCTGATTTGCGCAACTACCTAGATGAAATAGAATGGATAGAATACAAACCACAAAGCGACAGGTTTACGATGAGTGGTAGAATCAGGTTCAAAACACAAAACTCACTATCAAAGCGTACATGGCGTTCTAGTGCCTGCATTATTTGCTCAAAAAAGCGTGTCATCCCCTTTTCATGTTGCGTTGTAGGGAGGCCAGGACGCTTTCGAGGAATGTTGATTTCGATTTTGGCCCGCACAATTGTCGTTGTACTGGTCACCAGACAGACGTAGGCTAAACCCTCGTGCATGATTACGGCAGCCAGGTCCGCATGTTGTGTTGGGTCTGCAGCCTGTTCGACCAACATCAAGGCTATACTATCCCATTCGCTTTTGAAAATGGTGAATTTCTCGTCCAGCGTCAAGTCCAAAGTGTGATAAGCTCCCATTTTGACAAACTGGTTCTCGGCAACATTGCGGCCCTTCAGGTGCAAGACGGAACCCTAAAATAGCAAATAAGTGTGAAGCTGCCGTAAACCTGCATACAGACGGACACAAAAGCAAACTAAGTGGTTGCGAGCTTGCTTATTGTCGAAGGAGAATACACTTAAGTTATGTTCAATTGATATAGTAAGGAATACTGTATAGAAAAGAAGTTGGTTATCGCGTAACAAAGGCCACAGGTTGAACGTTGGTTTCAACGCTCTTTGCAACAAGTGGTTTCGATTCGATATCTGAATAACGGAAATGGAAGGAAATAGAACTATCTAAGATTGCTTCTTCAGTCACAACACGCATAACAACCAAAATGCTATGAATAAATGTTATCAGGCCCATGACGTATAGGTCAGACACAATGCTGAGTGGAGTCCACTCAATCGCATAAACAGAGCGCAGCATTAGCCTCTAAGGAGTGAACAGGAGTGCGTTCATTAAATTCCATACTAACGATCGGTTAAATAAGAAAACAACGGAAAGCGCTAAGTCGGTCTCAACCAAATGGACAGAATACCAGTCGACTGTTGCCGAGCTGGAGCTGTTGTCTAGCTACTGACCCTGTTAAGCAAGTAAAGAACTATTGCTTCCGAGCCATGCGCCAACAGGTGTACCTATTTCACCCCAAATGCTCACCTAAGCTGCAGACGAAGCAAAACGGACCAGAAATGTTCATTTTGCGGCATCGCGTACGCAGGAACACTTAGGCCTTAATTCCCATTCATTCTCTTGACGGCGGTTTGCAATGTTTTTGATTTGGTGAGAATACTGCCCCTGGATGACACGGTCAAACGATCCGTCTATCTCGGAATACTTGGTCTTAGTTCATCCTAGGATTTTTCCCTAAGACAGTGTCTGATAATTGCACCCTGGTAGTTGTTTGGTTTCAAAGTGCTTCGCAACGATAAGAATTCCCTAGCAAGACATTTGTAGCGCATATTGATCCTATCCGACGAAATAAATATTAAACAGAGATTTCCCGTGCTCAATGGAAATTGCCGTTCGACTGAATAAAAAGTTTTGCAGCGCAGGAGCGAGGAAACATATGTCTTGAGGAGCTGATGACAGAAGACGCCGTGTAGACCTCAAGTGTGTTAAATTAAAGTCTTTGCAAGCAGTTACAGGTTGCTAAACAAGCGAAATGTTTTCAATCAATTGGAAAATGTTTGGGACCGATTGGGAAGTCATCGTTTCAGAGGTTTGGTGAACAATCGGTGGATTTATCGCGGGTCAACATTTCGCTTTTGAAACAATAGCTTTGTCAGGCCAAGTGAGTAAGTAGTTTGATTGGGTTTAAGGCATTCAGGGAACCAATCCATGAGATTTCTTATGACTAGCAGACT